GGAGCAGAACAGGCAGATCGATGAAGTACACTGCTGAGGGGAGCAGCGGGCGGGCCAGGAGAGGTCTGCCGCGCCATGTGGTCACCTCCGGGGCAGGCGGAAATCGAACTCATGCGGAAGAGGCTTTAGCTTCTCAGTGCTGTGCTTTAACCCGCTGCGCCACCAGGGAGGGCCCAGAAGTTTTGTGTTTTATATTTAAGCCCATGGTCCATTTTGAGTTAACAGAAGATATGAGTCATTATTTTTGCCAGAGTATGCCCAACTGCTGCAGCACCAACAGTTGAAAGGCTATCCTTCTTTCACTGAATTGTTTTTATATCTTTGTCAAAATCAGCTGAGGTATTTGTGTTCGCTATTCTTTTCTACTCACCTGTGGATTTGTCTTTCTGCCAATACAATCCTGATTGCTGTAGCCAAATTTTGGACTCTAGAGGACTGAATCCTTCTAATTCATTCTTCTTTTTCAAAACTGATTAAGTTGCTTTCTTCTTTATCTTCTGGGGAACAGTGTCCAGAGGTATCAAGAATGTTCCTGTGGCTGACATACATCGTAGGCTACCCTACAACACAAGCCTCTAACAAAACTAGGCTGCCCCAAATCTCTGGCAACAGAATTGTTTGCCTTTATGTCAAGAAGGTTGGGAAAGTGTTGAAATCCACATATGGTATGTACCTCGGCCCACTCTGAGGAGCTTGTACCATGAGACCTAAAGTTCTTATGAGGCAGAAAGCAGGCCTTGAAGGCAGTGACCAGGTCTTGGTGCTCTTGTGTCCCAACAATGCTTCCAGTCAGAGTTCACTACCAGCAGCTGACCCGCTGGGTCTTCCTCCATTTCTTTGTTAATGCAGGAAGTAACTGTTGAGTTCCTTCAGATACAGGTGTCGCAACCAGGTGCTTCAGGACTTCCCCCCGTAGGTTTCATCATTCCTGAATTCCCTTCATTCACTTGACATTTTCCAAGAATCAATGCAAAAAGTTGCTGGTTTTCTCCAGAATGTCTCTCTCTCCTTTTTGAGACCTCTGCCTTTTTCCTTCTTGGTCTTAGTACAAGATCTTATGAATTCCTTAATCTTGTGTTTACATTTAAAACTCAGTCTTTCCCACTAGGTCATGGGTTTCTGGGGGTCAAGAGCTGTATCTTATTCACCTCCACGGAATGGCGCCAGCTGGGACTCTGTAAATACTTATGGAATGAAATGTGACATTAGACCTCCACAGCTCTGCGGTCCTTTAGGACTTAGTACCAGTATTTCATCATCTTCTCTACACCTTTACTTTCTAGTTATTTCTTATCCTTCATTCTTGGCCTCTGTGAATTCTTTTCAGAACAGAGAGTGGGTGGAGAAATGCAGCACATTTTCAAGTCATTCTTTTTTATCCCTCACAGGTATTATCTCGGCCGCCGGATGTATATTGTTATCTCTGAGCCAGACATGATCAAGCAGGTGTTGGTTGAGAACGTCAGTAACTTTACCAACAGAATGGTAGGTAGTTTTCTTTTTCCATATGAACAGATGAGGCATTACTCCAAGATGCAAGGCCTGCATGCCAGATTTAACAGGGATGAGATCAAGCCTCTTCTCAGCTGAGATCAGCTCAAAACTGAAAATGGAGCTCCCCAATGAATTCAGGTTTTCAAAAGTGATGTGCAGGATGGTACAAAAGAACAACATTTCCATTTAAGAAATGCTTCAAGAAAGCCAGGCTTTCTTGTTGTGGCTAATAAAAATGCTAAAACCAGGAGGAATCTCTAAAAGTCTGTTCAAAGCTGCAGGAAGTCAGGCGCACAGGTCAAGTGACTAAGGAAGACAGCAAAGCGAAGTAGTATGGGAAAGAAAGCAACCTCTCAGGCCTCTGGTGCTCACTTCTCTCCCAGAGAGTATAGAGGTCTTAAGGCCCCAAAAGGAAAAGATACCACACAGGGGAAGGTGACCCCAAGTAAGAGGCAACAGAGCTGGTAAGAGGACCCCTGAATATCCACTCAAGTCTCCAACCCACTAAAAGGCTTTAGACATTCCACCTTTTGGGGAAAGAACTTTTTATCTTTGGTAGGAACTCCTAAAGAATGGAAGTGGTGATGGGAAGGGGCAGAAGCCAGCATCATTCATGTGTTCTAAAATGAAGAGACAGGGATTCTAGAAAAGACAGGTAGCCATTATGTTGATTCTTGGGAAGCTCTAAAAGGAATTCCTAAATGTCTGTGTGGGAGAATTCAGAGAATCACTAGGTGCCAACCTATGTGGTTGTTGTCAAATTAAGCTCATCTTCCAGGGCTAGTAAGTAAACATTTGCCCACCCACCGCATGCCAGGTGCTGTCGAGCTGCTGACTGTAAAGAGATAGGAACCTCAGTCTTTTCCCCCAGGGGCTCACAGTCCAGGAAAGGGAGCACAGAGTAGAGAGGGCCATCCAGTGTGTTTCCTGTGAGTCCAGGGCAGGAAAACTGCAATTCCAGGACAGGCCTGGGAGGCCTTCAAGATGGAGAGGCCTGTGGTGTGCGCTGAAGCCAGTGGTGGCCCCTACACAGTCTGACGCTGGTTGAATTACCTGGCACATTTTTCTCATTAGATTTCACAAACACTCATTTGACTGATACAACTATGATCACTATTTTACAGACATGAAACTAAGATGAGGAAACTAAGTGTTAGCTTCAAGAAACACATTGAGTATACCAGAGAGGTTGTAGTTAATAAAAATGTTGAAACTGTGTTGAAAGACACAGGAAACTGAGGCACAGAATTTTACCAGACAGGGCAACTAAGACCCCACGCGCTGGTGACCCCCATGGGCTCAGGACTGGCAGCAGGAAGAGCAAGAATGTACTACCCAGGCAAGTCCAGGCTCCTCTTCCTGACATGAGTATTGCAGCTGTCTCAGGGACAACTCTAGGTTGGCAAGGCTTAATTAAGTAATTAGGTTATTCAATGCAACCAAAACCTACTGTGTACACCCCAAATATACTCATCTTCCAGCCCCAAGTGCCAGGCCCAAATCTAGACACCCCAGAAGGAAGTGACCTGGAGGGAGGCTGCCGGTCAAAATAATTGCTGACATCGGTGACTTCTCTGCTGCTCCCGGCTTCTCTTGCCCAAAACATGGTCATTAATCCCCTGCTCAGAGGCCCCGAAGGTGCTCTGTGGAGCTGGGGCCTTAGAAACGGAGGAGGAGTCTGGCTGTTAAAGCAGCTGGGGTTGCAGGTTGCTGGCTCAGCAAGGAGCGTTGGTTAAAGAAATGGGTGATGCCAACGCATCTTGGCCAGCCTTGGCCACCACGGTGTCTGGGCTGGCAGCGAGGGGCCCGCAGGGTCCTTGAGTCCCTGAGTGGTGAGACGGGATGTGTCAGTCAAGTGTTGCCACACTGCTTCACGGGACTCCTGGGCTACCACCATGACACGTGACCTGGAAGAGGGCTGCACTCTGGGGTGCTGGGACAGACGTCTATGCAACACTTTCCAGCAAAGGGAACCGGGTAGTTCCCCCAGCTCCAGGCAGTTTCTCCGCCAAACCAAGTGTCTGTCTCCACTGGTTTTTTCCTACTCCTCCGACCCCCTGACTAAGGTCTTTGGGCCCCAAACCCCAAAACATGGTCCTAATTTCCTTCTTCCACTGGACAGTGCCCTTAGGACAAAATTCAAGGGCCCCTGATGAGATGTTAAGACTGTAACTCAGATCTTTCACATGGACTCCGACCTCCCATGCAGCTGTCTCCGCAGCCTGGCCTCCCTGTTCTCCCCGTGGCCTGCCCTGGGGAGCCCTGCCCAGTGCCTTTGCTCATGCGGACACTCAGCAGACTCAGCGGCAGCCTAACGCTAGGTCTTGCACTTACTTACAATGCAAGCTTTAGCAAATTATTTATTTAAAAGCCCCTCATATTCCTCCTTCGGAACAGGGGGATATGTTCTACCTGCTGGTCTGTTGTAAATACTGAGATCAAGTGTGCAAGCCTTGCTGAGCCTCGGCACAGCACTCAGGAGACAAGCAAGACAAGCACTCGGCAGGCACTAGCTGCTGTTAGCAAGCACGGCCTCCACCTCCTCCATACCCACCAAGCCCTGGCTATTCCTCAAGGCATGCCTCCTCCCATTCTGCCTCCTCCGTGAAGCCCTCCCTGCCTCCATCCACACTGAGCGGGTTACAGCATTCATCCTCAGCATCCCCCCCTTTACAAAAGGATCCCATTGGGTCCCGCACTACTGACAGTTAAAGAAGGGACTGCTTTCTCCCTACCTTGATTGTTAGCTCTTTAAGGCTCTGTGTTTTTAAACCCAGGCGCACAATCACTATGCAGTATCGAACTCATTCATGTTCAAGCTAAATTGAATCGCCATCAGCTAGATTCTCCCCCAAAAGACCTAGGTGTTACTTGAACCTGGGTATTCAAGTAACACCTCCTCATCGGGGTCACTCACCAACTTCTAGAAAGACTCCTCAAAGGCTAGATGACTAGGAAAGCCCAAAGTTTATAAATTTCCATCCGGGGATGTATCCTCTTATCTACAGCTTTGTTTATGGTCTTAAAGCCAATCCCATATTCATGCTAAAACAACCCTAGTGACTCAATTTTTTCAAAATCATCTTTAGAGCAGGATTTTCTCACAGGTTTTTGAAAGTCAAATTAAACTGGGTTCTGTGGTTCCCTTTTCTCCATATGCTTATTTATCTGCTCGAAGAACTCAAGGAGATTAGCGAGGCGTGATTTCTCCTTCCCGACACCATGCTGCCTTTCCTCTAATAAGCCATGTTGACTTAAGTGTTCAGCGATTCAGCTTTATTATACATTCATTCAGTAAACATTAAATGCTTACTCCATGCAAGCTTCTACCAAACGGTCCCTGGTGAGACCAAAAATACCTCAGCATATTAGTTTGATACATTAAGTGAAAAGGAAGTTAAATAACGCAGGGCTTCATTTTCCAGCGGCGCCCACCTTTGCCCAGATACAGGCGTGACTTCTGCGTGCCCCGGACGACCGGGTGGAGGGGGCACCATGTGCAAAGTTGGGTTTAGTTCTCAAATTTCACATGAGCTGTAAGAGCAATTGATGGAGAATTCTGGCTGGATCTGGTAGGTGCCCCTTAGGGAATTTTCCTAACATCTATCACTATTGAGGAAATAGTTGAATTCAAACATTGTTGAAGTTTTTTCAAACCCCAGAACACTAGACCCAGCAGGCCCTTGGTCAGAGCCAGGATGCTGGCTGTTTTTGTGTGTTAATTCAATTATTTTTATTGAGGCCATGCTGCTTTACCACACTGCACATGGCTTAGGGGTAGAGGTTCACCCCTCTTCTAGGGGACATCACCACCCACACCCAACACGAACACGCCCAGACCCCTCCCGCCCCCCTGCCCACCTCTGAGGGGCAGCTCTTCTATCACACTTCCGCATTCACATTTGGGGGTGCCAGTTCTGTGCAATGTCTGCTCTATCTAGCCTCTCTTCCAAATAGACTCCTTGGGCCTCTATCTGTAGCCTGGGCCCTTCCTGAAGTTGCTTCTGGTGGTGTAACCACAATTTACCGTTAAACCCAAATCAATCTTCCTAGCATTTGTAGCACCTCAGTGATCCCAGCACCTCAGGGCTGGTTATTTTTATTTAAATATTTTTAATTAGCTTCTCTTTGTTATCAGGCACTCCACAGAAGCCAGGGGGTGGCTCCCTTTTTCCTTTAATATCTGTGGAATTACTATCTGTCCACATGACTCAGGGGACGTGGTCAAGGGCAGCTGGAAAAGTTCTCCTGCCTGGCTGCTCAGCAAGGCCAGAGTGGGGGATGTCAGGAGAGTGATAGGAAGCAAGATGTTAGGGCCAAGTCAGGCTGGTCTAGTTAGAAGGGGATGTGGAAGCACAGGCTCACTTGCTATCCTGCGGCTGTGGGGTTCCCAGGACAGCAAGAAGCGTGGGTGAGGCTGCAGGCCCGTCCCCAGGAGGGCTGTGTGGAGGCGGTGGGCACCAGCCCTCAGGTCCTTGTGGGTAGCACAGGGGGTCACCTCTCTGGGCACAGGTCCAACTACACCTGGCCTCAATGGCTTATCTAAAGCCAGGTGATGGACTCCATAGGCGCTTTATCTAGAAGCACAGAACCTCGGCCTGGCTCCTCCCAGGTGGGCCTCCCAGCAGTGTTTCACCCTCTCACCAGGCAGTCATGGGAACCAGCAGAGTCCTGTGAAGCCACCAAGGCCTGGGCACTGAAAAAGATGGGAAAGTTCCGAGGGAAACTGGTCACCAGAAGGCCCACTACCCCCTGACCTGCAACACCCTAGCAGAGAGAAGCAGAGGGCACAGAGACTATTCCCATGCTCACAGGGAGGAGTTTCCCATTCTGGGCTCCAGGCGAATGGGGCACCTGACAGGGGCCACAGGGACCCACCTGCTGGTACCCAAGGAGGGCAGGGGCCTCATCAGCTTTGCCACAAAATGTCCCCTAAAAGGGAAGCGGACCGCTGGACTAGGTAGGAAGATTGCCGGTGCTTTGGCGGCAGA